AAGTTATGAGATTTGTGTTTTCAATATTTATTTTCCTGTGTCAAAAATTATCATGATATTTATACCTGGGTTACTGTGGGGCGTATATTACCATGCTATTTGCATAAAGAAAATACTAAAATACGGCGTGTCAGATTGTACCTCAGGACACCCGGCCATTTTCCCATCACTTACGTCGTTCACCTCGCCAGCTGCACCTCAATGGAGGCTTCATCGGCCGCGTCACTGACATCATCCTTGCAAACTGTCGAAGCGAGTCCGCCTTCAGCACTTGAAATGCAACGCCCATTAAACGGCCGTGTCTCGCGGAGACCAAAATTTCTCACCAAATGAACAATAGTACTCATTGAAGTGTTCGCAGAAACACCAACATATGATGCACTAGAGGAATCTATCAAAAAGTACAGAAAAGATGCCTTTCATTGTTTGTTACGGAAGTAAAGAAGGTTCAAAAAACGTTTTTCTATCTCACAAGAAACCTTCGGTGAGGTGGCTAGTGCGTCGATTACTAGCGTTTCGATCCGTTCAGATCTGATGCAAAAAAACAAAGGTAAACGTTTGCACACGGTCGACCGGCCAAGCGTTCAGCCGGTCGTACCGCTCGCTCCACTGCAGGCCCACCTTATCCCTTCTTTATGCGTGTCTTCCTCCTTGGCTCGCTGCCTCTCCTTTCTTTTTTCTTTCCCCACCACGACCTGCTTGGCGCCCAACCTCGCCGCTTCGTCGTTGCCGGTGAGCCCCTCTTCTCAAACTGCCATGGACGCGGCACCCTCGAGCTTGACCTCTTCCCCTCCTCTATCTCTACCCCCCACCAGGACCATCGTTTGCGCGCCCCTCACCACCGCTGCTGCAACGACCCACTCCGTCGCTACTCCAAGCTTCCTCGCCGAGCTTCTGCAGCCGGCGGCGGCGCCACGGGCGTCGACCTTTTTTTTGCTTCAACCAAAACGGCGCTGTGAAACGAGATGGGGGTAGTGCTACAACCAGCGACGTTGGAAGCTACAACCGGCTTTGGCGAAAGCTGCATCCAAAGAGTAGAAAGCTACAACCAGTGCACCGGCGGAAGCTGGAACCAGAGACAAGAAAAGCTACAACCATCATCCGGATTTGCTACAACGGATGCGGCGACAGCACCAACCACCGGAGCTGCACTCGCGAGCAATGACTCCACAGTGGCGACCCCTTTTGCTGGAATCATCACCAGCTTTCGCTACTACAGGCAGGAAATTTGCTACATCTATCATAAAGGGAGCTGCATGGTGCTCGACCGACAGATCTTTTTTGCTGAAACCGACTACTAGCGGAGCTGCAACCACGCAACGCGGATGCTGGAACCATTGCCGACGAAAGATGGAACTGGTGTCTTTTTTTTGCTTCAACCAACGAAGTGGTGCTGAGATGATGATGTGCGCCGCCGTGGTGAGCTGCAAACGGCACCAGAAAAGATACATCCAGCCTTTTGTTTTGCTACATTGATTTTGATGTGTGAAGCTTAATCCCAGGAGACGACAGCGAGGAGCACGGACGGCGCCACTTGTGCGGTGGGGCGGCACGACCCGATGGCTGCAACCTTGCCGGCTGCTGCTAGGAACGCACTGCCGCAGTAGCGACGCATCCCACAGGTAGAAGATGGAAGATGTGGTAGTCATGGTGAGGCGACTGCGAGGTTGCAAGCACACCCACGACGACGAGGCGCGCGTCCATGGCTGGGAGCGGTACGACCCGCGGCGCTTGCGGGCGCGGCCGGAGACGTGCGCGCTGGAGGTGCTTGCGGGGGCTGGTGGTGCCGGCGAGGGCTGGTGTTGTGGGTGGGTATCGATAGCGGAGAACGACCAGGGAAGAAGATGAGAGTTGACTCGGGGGGAAAAGAGTTTTCTAATCTAACGGCTGTGCGTTGTCCAATCGAACGATGTAGCTGCGACCGGTGGAAGCCTTGCGCCGGTCGACCGGCGCAGATCACTGCCCAAAAACAAAGCTTTCAGAAATTACAAAAATCGTGTAGTTATTACTATTTGTTAGAGCGCAGCTGAAGTCTTGAGGCATTTAGATGTTACTCCCTCCTTTCCTAAATATTCCAAAAGTCTTTTTAAAAATTTCAATACTAACTACATACCGTGCAAAATAAATGTGTAGTCAAATGACCACGCACGAGAAACATGCAAGATCATTTTCGTCGATTATAGCTTGTTTTTTTCATGGCAGCTGGAGTTTTTGATATGAAGATTAACATTTTGGTATTACTCGATCCATTCATTTCGTTAAGAATGAAGTGTTGGTCTCTATTCTGTTTGTTAAGGGCTCCAATTTAGTTAATTTTCTTAGTACTACTCCCTTGTCAAACTGGCAGTCAGGTCGGGTGAATGGGTTACCAAACCCATGAACGATAAGTAAATGGGTCCACCCATTCGCCCACAGCCCATAGCAGCAGACCCATGCCCGACAGATAACCCATGGGCATAGGAGCAGACCCACGCCCGAACCCTACAGGTAACCCATGGGGATAGGAGCAGACCCACGCCCGAACCCGACAGGTAACCCATGGGGATAGGAGCAGACCCATGCCCGAACCTGATAGGTAACCTGACCCAATGGGTTACCCATCGGTTTCCGAACAGTGCACAACATAGTATAGTTGCAAAAATTCATACTATAACAAAGATCGATTCAGTGGCAAAAATGCACAAATAGCTTCAATTGCTAGCCATCAATTGCAAAAATGCACAGAAAAGCATCACAAATACAGTACATGGTTCAGGTCTTGAAGAGCACACATACATGGCGAGAACGTATCATGTGCACCGAGGCAACTCATGCACCGAATGCACTCATACGAACCATTGGATAAAAAACTGAATAGTTCTTTTGTTTATCAAAATCAACCCACATTACACATCTCCCTCTCCTATAAATAAATCTACGTGTTTAATTTGTTTGCTTCAAACAAAAAGGTGTCATGTATTTTTAAACTAAATGTCCGATTTCTGACCTGTTCTGACTGCCATCTTTGTTTTGACGTTATCTTCTAATCAAGAACAATATTGAGTATATTTTTAAAAATTAAAATGCTTTTACTTTCTAAAATTGAACTCGAAACTTGGCTGCAACATACACATGTTTTGCTTCTTTCTCACACGCGCGGCCCGGGTGCACATCCTTCTAATACATCACAAGTTCCAAGCCAAACTTCAAAAAAACAGCAAATTATAATTTTTGGAAACATATCGAACATCAATCTTATTTCGAATATCTTGTCAAGACATAAATTACAGGAAAAACAGATCTTAAATCAATCATTCAGTTCAAAATATATGAACCATTTTATGTTTGGCCAGAAAAACAAACATACAGATCTTTTGATGGGAGTTAGTGCTGTGGAGTGCGGGTTAGTTTGTAGAAAGTGCAAGGTTGCCTTGCAAAAAAGGCATAGTCCTTTTGACCAAAATCTGGCCCACTAATTTTTCATCCAAGGGTCCTGAATCCATCGGTGCATTGGGTGCACAAATTGGCTCGGTGCACCTGATATGTTCTCTGGTTCAAAATAGCATCACAAATATTTCCATCCAAACAAAAAAGCTTGTCCCTCAAATGAATGTATCTAGCACTAAGTTAGTGCTAGATACATCCATTTGAAGGAAAGCTTTTTCGGACAGAGGGGGTACATGGTTCAGGTCCAGGAGCACAAATACAAAGGTTCAGGTGCACAAATAGTAGCAGAAATACAAGGTTCAGCAGCAGCACAAATACACAAAAAACAAGGTTCAGGTTGAGTACTTATGGGCCAACAAGCTAGCAGCAGCAAGTAGTAGTGTAACAGCTCATGGAGGTAGCAGAGTAGTGTAGCAGCTGGTAGCATCAGGCTTCAGTTAGGATGGATTGAGCATCAACCTCCTGAAACATAAGAAAATAGAAGCATTCAAAGTAAAGAACAAGATTTGCATTAAAATCTAAGATTAAAAGGCGCATGGAGCCTGCTGCCTGCTGCTCGAGGAAGAACAAGGATTGAGACAGCGGCGGCGGTGCTTGGTTGGGGGATCCAGCGACCTTCGACCTGCGACGGCGTGGCCGCGGGGGACAGTGGGCGGCGGCGGCGGCGGCTTGAGGATGGCAGAGAGCAAGAGCTAGTTTAGTTGAGTGAGAGGAGGCGTGGAGTGGAGAACGTGGTCCAGTTGGCTTCTCTGGTAAAACCTAAGGTGCTGAGTGCTGACTTACTGAACTGGGCCGGGGACGGTGGGCTGGCAGGCAAGGTTCGGGAGGCTACTACTATTTAGATATGAAGGGACCAGATGTCAGCTAATCGCGCAACCCAGGTGACCCACAGGCAGGACCTCATGCCCATACCCTACCCGTGACTAATCGGGTTACCCATCGGGCTTATCCATGGGTGAATATGCCGACCCATACCCTACCCATTCGGGTTGGGTGCCCATGGGCACGGCCGCCCATGGGTCGGATTGCCGGGTTGACTCCCTTGTAAAGAAATATAAGAGCGTTTAGATCAGTACTTATCTAAACGCACGCTCTTATATTTCTTTAAGGAGGGAGTACCTATTAAGTCTGAAGCTCTTTTTCCGCTTAACAAGCAAGCAATTCACTCGTCCTGCAAGAAAGACATGACATTCTAGATCGCCAGGATATAGAGAAGATGCTAAGCATTCCCGGCCAGATCGATCATATCCATCAGCAGGAGTTATTTAAAAAAGAAGGAATCTAACTTCCGAGAAACCAAGTACTTGTGCAGACCTTTCGAGAGTATAAACATGACATATTGGCCAAGATACAGCTACTGAACACAATCAGAACAGAAATACTTGATTCAACATAACTAATTATAGTTGATATCAATACACAGATAGTTAAACATCTGATCCATTCATAGACAGTTGGACAACAAATACTAGTAAAACAGGATATGGTACAGAGATAGTTAAATATCTGATTCATAAATAAATACTAATCAATAAAACAGTACAGTAAAACAGGTATAGTTTCAAACCTCAAGGTTAGGTTTTGCATACAACATGGACCGACCAAGCAACGGTGATCTCCACCTTGGAGTCCCCAATGTCACATACAGCTTTACTTATGTTGCAAAGCTTGGGGGTGAACTTGACATGACCTTTTGCAGAAACAACACCAGACTCTGAGTAGGCTTCTACCTGAACTTTTAAGGTCTCTTCTAACTTTTCTGGATAATAAAAATGATCTACCGGTAACTCCACGGAAACAACACGCCTCATTAGATCAAGGTAACCATCAGTGCTCATTGGCATTTCTCCATCATCGCAATAACGAGAATCAAGCAACACAACTTGTGTGCCTGGGGGATCAATAAAGGGCAGCCCGGTCCATGTAGCTCCCGCTCCTGGGGGATCTTCCATCAAAAAGCCTTTACTATCACAGACAATAGCTTCATTAGATTTCAACGAGCAAGCAACGCGGCCCCCATATTTGAATGTGCATGTGCCAGCATTAACGATCTGGACAGCTATGATTGTAGCCTGAACTGAATTCACAAGCTGCTGCAGGCTTAACTTGATTTCACATAGGCAGTTGTGTAAGCCAATACTATAGAGGTCAGCACCGGAATGAATGTAGGGGTATGCTTGATATATCAATGCTCTGTCGCAAAACTTTGTTCTGCCCTTAACCATGAGTTCGACTTCAAACTCGACCTCAGGCAAAATTGCCCGAGCTGGACCAGTCAAGCACAAAAAAGGATCCTGCAAGCATCGTTATATACACTTAATTGCAACAAACGAATTAAGAAAAGACACATGCAGCATACGTTCAGGAAAGGAAAAAAATGAAAGGAAAATGAAGTGAACTCAAAACTAAAAGCATACATACAGCTTCTGTGACTTTCTGGGCATTATTCCTCATTCGATTGAAGAGAATGTTGCGGTTGAAATCCACTCTGTCTCTGGCAGCGACCACACCATACACGTAAAGAGGCCAATTTAAGTCGCCTTTGATCTGGGCAATCTTGATGGAGAAGATCTCCAAGCTGGTCCCGGTGGTAACTGCAACGTCATCTTCAGAGGCTACTCCAGGCGGGCAGAAAGTAAAATGCATAGGACTTATCATGCCTGTACCAGCAAGAGCGAGGAATCGACATGAATTCACTTAGACAAAGAAGAAAGAATAACAACAACAACAAAGCCTTTAGTCCCAAACAAGTTGGGGTAGGCTAGAGGTGAAACCCATAAGATCTCGCAACCAACTCATGGCTCTGGCACATGGATAGCAAGCTTCCACGCACCCCTGTCCATAGCTAGCTCTTTGTCGATACTCCAATCCTTCAGGTCTCTCTTAACGGACTCCTCCCATGTCAAAATCGGTCGACCCCGCCCTCTCTTGACATTCTCCGCACGCTTTAGCCGTCCGCTATGCACCGGAGCTTCTGGAGGCCTGCGCTGAATATGCCCAAACCATCTCAAACGATGTTGGACAAGCTTCTCCTCAATTGGTGCTACCCCAACTCTATCTCGTATATCATCATTCCGGACTCGATCCTTCCTCGTGTGGCCACACATCCATCTCAACATACGCATCTCCGCCACACCTAACTGTTGAACATGTCGCCTTTTAGTCGGCCAACACTCCGCGCCATACAACATTGCGGGTCGAACCGCCGTCCTGTAGAACTTGCCTTTTAGCTTTTGTGGCACTCTCTTGTCACAGAGAATGCCAGAAGCTTGGCGCCACTTCATCCATCCGGCTTTGATTCGATGGTTCACATCTTCATCAATACCCCCATCCTCCTGCAACATTGACCCCAAATACCGAAAGGTGTCCTTCCGAGGTACCACCTGGCCATCAAGGCTAACCTCCTCCTCACAGCTAGTAGTACTGAAACCGCATATCATGTACTCGGTTTTAGTTCTACTAAGCCTAAACCCTTTCGATTCCAAGGTTTGTCTCCATAACAATAACTTCCTATTTACCCCCATCCGACTATCGTCAACTAGCACCACATCATCCGCAAAGAGCATACACCATGGGGTATCTCCTTGTATACCCCTTGTGACCTCATCCATCACCAATGCAAAAAGATAAGGGCTCAAAGCTGACCCCTGATGCAGTCCTATCTTAATCGGGAAGTCATCGGTGTCGACATCACTTGTTCAAACACTTGTCACAACATTATTGTACATGTCCTTGATGAGGGTAATGTACTTTGTTGGGACTTTGTGTTTCTCCAAGGCCCACCACATGACATTCCGCGGTATCTTATCATAGGCCTTCTCCAAGTCAATGAACACCATATGCAAGTCCTTCTTATGCTCCCTATATCTCTCCATAAGTTGTCGTACCAAGAAAATGGCTTCCATGGTCGACCTCCCAGGCATGAAACCAAACTGATTTTTGGTCACGCTTGTCATTCTTCTTAAGCGGTGCTCAATGACTCTCTCCCATAGCTTCATTGTATGGCTCATCAGCTTAATTCCACGGTAATTAGTACAACTCTGAACATCCCCCTTGTTCTTGAAGATTGGTACTAATATACTCCGTCTCCATTCTTCTGGCATCTTGTTTGCCCGAAAAATGAGGTTGAAAAGCTTGGTTAGCCATACTATCGCTACGTCCCCGAGACCTTTCCACACCTCAATGGGGATACAATCAGGGCCCATCGCCTTGCCCCCTTTCATCCTTTTTAAAGCCTCCTTCACCTCAGACTCCTGGATGCGCCGCACAAAACGCATGCTAGTCTCATCAAAGGAGTCATTCAATTCAATGGTAGAACTCTCATTCTCCCCATTGAACAGCTTGTCGAAGTACTCCCGCCATCTATGCTTAATCTCTTCGTCCTTCACCAAGAGTTGGTCTGCTCCGTCCTTGATGCATTTGACTTGGCCAATATCCCTCGTCTTCCTCTCCCGGATCTTAGCCATCTTATAGATGTCCCTTTCACCTTCCTTCGTGCCTAACCGTTGGTAGAGGTCCTCATATGCCCGACCCCTTGCTTCACCAACAGCTCACTTTGCGGCCTTCTTCGCCATCTTGTACTTCTCTATGTTGTCTGCACTCCTATCCAGGTATAGGCGTCTGAAGCAATCTTTCTTCTTTTAAGCGCCTTCTGGACATCATCATTCCACCACCAGGTATCGTTATCTTCGCTTCTCCTTCCCCTGGACACTCCAAACTCCTCCGAGGCCACCTTACGAATGCAAGTCGCCATCTTCATCCACACATTGTCCGCATCCCCTCCTTCCTCCCAAGGGCCCTCCTTAAATACCCTCTCCTTGAACACCTGAGCTACCTCCCCCTTGAGATTCCACCACTTCGTTCTAGCGACCTTGGCACGCTTATCCCGCTGGACACGAATCCGAAAGCTGAAGTCAGCAACCACCAGCTTATGTTGGGGTACAACACTCTCCCCAGGTATCACCTTACAAAGAAGAAAGAATATGCTTGAAAAATGAGTTAGGTGATACACCCGGTGATTAAGAGAATAAGGCAAATTAAGTGATCAAACAGATTAATTGTCAATGCTTGTCTGCAGTTTATCTTGCTTACTTTCAGCTTCGAAGGTAGAGCCAGCCAATAAACCCTTCCTGCCTCTACGGTAGGTAGCATAGAGGCTCTCCTCCTCTGCAATCTGCTTCTTAAGAGATCTCGTCAGCTTCGTCTCCTCCTCCTGATGAGGATGAAGCCTGTACTCCTCGGGCTCTTGGAGAGGGATGAGCTGCAGCTGGTCGCGGATCCGGATCTTCTCTTTCTTGGAGATTTCCTCTTGCATCTCGCGCATGCGGTTGGCGGCATAAATACCCACAAGGTCCTTCTTCTTCATAGATGATTTGCTACCCGCGGCATCGAATCCGATCTCAACAAGTACTGTTCTGAACTTGGACAAGTTATCACACAGAGCTGAAATCTGGTTTGGGATATCTTCCCTCTCCATCAGGAGTGCGGGCTGAGATGCGTTGATCTTCGTCAAGAACGATGCCGTCTCCTGCATCTGCAGACAGATTGTCTCGATCTGCTCCTTAGGCTCCATGTCGAATCTGATCTCAACAAGTAATGTTCTGATCTTGGACAAGTTATCACAGAGAACTGAGATCTGGTTTGCGGTATCTTCCCTCTCCATCAGGAGTGCGGTCTGAGATGCGTTGATCTTCGTCAAGAACGATGCCGTCTCCTGCATCTGCAGACAGATTGTCTCAATCTGCTCCTTACGCTCCGTGATGTCCATGGCCACCTCCTTCTGGGCATACACTTTCTCGACCTTATCTTCCCTGCTCCAGCCTTCTGCCCCGCCGCCATACGCCATAGCTGTTCTTTGGCCAGAAGGGTCGCCGCCGTCGGGGAGGCGATTAGGGCTTGCGCCGTCGGGGGCGTCGCCGCGGCGGCGCTTAGGGTCGGGGTCGGGGTCGTCGCCGCGGCGGCGCTCAGGGTCGGGGTCGTCGCCGGCGCGGCGCTCAGAGTCGGGGTCCTCGCCGGCGCGGCGCTCAGGGACGGGGTCGTGGAGGGCGCGGCGCTTAGGGTCGGGGTCGTCGGCGGTGACGGCGGGGCGCTTAGGGTTTTGGCATTATCGTTTTTGTTTTCTTTTTGTGTGAACGCGGAGGATGGTTCGGAGTTTATATAGCACGTCTCTGCTAGGGTGTGTTTGGTAGCATGTATGGACCTAGCCTAATTGTTCTCATCTCATACATGCTGAGTGTAGACATGCTGAGTCCATGCAGTTGTTGTTGTTTGGCAGTGATGTATGCGCTGAGACATGCTGAACTGAGATTTTGTTTGGTAGCCTGCATGTGTTTAGACATGCTGAACAATTTCGAATTCCGAAATTTTTTTTTTAATGATAAACAAAATCGGAAAAATGTCAACACAAATTTAAACATATTTTGAAAATTTAAATAAAATTTGAAATTCTAAACTTTTTTGGAAAATTAAAATAAATTTTGAATTTTTGTTTTTTTATTTGAACATATTTGAAATTATGAGTTTTTTTTTAATTTAAACAAAATTTGAATATTTGAATATTTTATAAAAAACTAAATTCTATTTTTTTCAAAATTCAAACAATTTTTGGTTTCCTTTTGAAATTTCGAACATTTATGATTTTTTAGAAAAATTGAAATTTCAATCAAATTTTGAAATTATGATATTTTTTTTGAAAATTTAAACAATTTTAAATTTCCAATTTTTTTATTTTTTCTAAAATTCTAAAGTTTTTCGAAAATTTTAAAAAAATTGAAATTCTGAATTTTTTGAAAAAATAAGCATATCTGGACGTGGTCTGGTCGGTGGGGATGAGTGCCAGGGCCAGCATAGCTGCCTCCATGCACCATGTCTGAGGTGCATGAGATGAGCATGGCTGAGGGCACTTTTATGCATCAGATGAGCATAGCTCAGGTGAGCCCATGCACCCTACCAAACAAGCAAAAGTGGGTCAGATTGGGAACTTTTGCCCTCATACACCCTCCATGCATCCTACCAAACACAGGGACGGCCAATGTTCTCATTCGAGCTAGCAGAGCAGAGACGTAATTGGTTATCGGGGCTTCTGCCACACACTCCATCTAAGTTGTGGATCCCCCTGTTGATGATTTCAAGGGAACGCAGTTTCTCATTCGATTCTTATAATCCCTATCCCTCTATTTATCTCCCATCAAAGTATATGGATACATTCCCTTCCTTTAGTGTTGTTGTTTGGGATGATCCTGTGTTCTCGCAATCAAGCAATTCTTACTTTGTTCAACGCAGCAAGGTAAGCACATGTTTCTTCTATATTTGAGCTTTCTAACCTTTAATGTTGCTACTCCTTCCTTTATTTTTGTTCTCCGGGATGGTTCCATCTAGCTGCCTCTATTGATTCATGTTCAATCTTTTGATTGCCGGCGATCCGGCACTAATGCTAGCTTCTTGCCGCATTTGCATTCTTCTACAGAGGCTAACTCTATGCATTTTATGATGAGATAATTCATTATAGATTTCTTACGGCTGATGCAGCTACTTCATAATTATCTCTATACAACAGTACTATCAGGATGTTCTAGCACTAACATGGTTTGTATGTTTATGCATGCATGTATACAGTCCAGTCTACACTTTTTTTTACCCAAATCAATATGACCTCACACAACAGTAGGTTGCTATTGAATCATAATCTCATATGCGAATGATTGACAATTTTTTTCTCTAATCTTGATTGGGTCTAATCTTTATAATTGCAAAAATTAGATCACTTTCAGGTTTGCTGCTTCAACTTCTCACGCCTATAATTTGTTTTAGTTTGTAAATTGTTTAATTTCCAAACGCATCATTCATCAATTATGTCACCGAAGTGGAGATTGCCTTTGATATTATCTCTATACTATCCTATGATCAGGGTGTTCTAGCAATAACAAGGTTTATTCGTTTATGCTTGCATGTATACAATGTACTCTAGGCATTTTACATTAATCCCATATCAATTTGACACACAAAACACTGACCCTGATAACCTCTCTATCCTTGAATCAGGATATAAAGTACGACTGACGGACAAAAGATTTTCTTTCTCTATTGTTGAATCCAGCTAATATTTATCATTGAAAAAATTCAGTCACTTTTAGGCAGGTACTTAATCTTATTCATCTGAGTTAACCGGAAGTACCTGTGTCGCAGCATACTACCAATTTGATGTCATTCCAAAATAACATGTGCACTTGACTTTTGCTCGCTCCTTTTACACCTGTGCAATTGTACACATGTTCATTTTTTATATACCAATAGGCCACTGCAGGTTGGGTTATCTGTTTGTGAACTTATATGTTTCCTTTTTGTTCGAAATATGGTTTCTCAATGGTAGCAGAATTCCATAGATTATATGTCTTCAGAGTATTGTTTTTGCTCAAAAAAAATATCTTAAGAGTCCATTGCTAGTCGTTAACTCCAAGGAAAATGCTAGCTGCCAATACAAATTTTTTAGTGATCAACAGCTTGAACAATACTATGCACAATCTCACTATACAAAATTGGAGATGCCGGATGCTCTATCTTTTTATTTCCATCATCTGCTCTTCTAACACTTGCATTCCAGGATGCCTCTGCAATACTCACGTCACTCTTCCATCAGTTCTGCCAAAAAGGCACACAACAGATACATGCACTCAATGAACCGGCTCAAGGATTCTATAAAAGGAAAAGTATGTATAACTATCACAAGGAAATCTCATGGTGAAGACTATAGTATCCAACTGCCCCATGAACACCACATTAGCACTGTTGGCTACATCAAAAAGGTGAATGACACCTCAAGACATTTACAACAACGTGGACCCCAGCAAAAAGAAATTGATACATATTAGCTCCTCTGCTTATTGACAAATAATATTAATAAATAACAAATTTATTTTTACATATAACCGCATTTGTAAATATACTGTACTAAGTACTTGCATTTAATATAACTTTTGTTACTATACACTTCTTAAATTTCCCCTCTCAACTCAAAACACTATAATTTACACTGCTAACATACTATGGTTCTCCACGAATATTATAGTATTTCATTCTTTGAATCATCAACGCATTGGTTCTCTAAAATTAGTCCTCAAATACCCGCAGCAACGCGCGGGAAATCATCTAGTCTAGTAAAACATGATCCACCGTGTCATTGCACATCACTTTTTACATCTGACTGCGATAAAACATCAAAAATAAGATTACACTTTGTTTCGCTTTTTGAAGCTTGAAATGTGGACGTGAAGAAGCCACCAAACATCGTTTGTGAGGATCTACTTCACCTCCACACCGTCGTCCGATGAATGAGTATCGGTTTATGTAATACTATTTTCAATCTTCTTTTCCAAATAAACATGAGTATTTTTAAAAGGTGTTTTTCTCATAAATTTCTTGAACATTTGTTGAAATACATTTTTTAAAAGCAATCATTTTTTAAGGCGAGCATGGTTGATTTGGATAATTACATTTAATTTGTAATCGGTTTTTTTTGAGTATTTGGGCTTGGCCCAAATTGAAGGAAAAGTTGACCTTTTAGCGACACCATAACTTCATGCACTCGTCTTTCTTCATGTTCCCTTAGAAAAAATCTCTCTTCCCGTTCCTCATTCTCTAAGAGAAACTGACGCATCTCAATGTCCCTAGTAAATGCCGCCACCGACCACCGTTCCCAACTGCCGCCGGCCGCCGTTCCCAACCGCTAACGGCCATCTGGCGGGCCGCTGTCCCCGGAGTAAATCCACCATTTTCTTCTATGGTGAAACCACGACGATGCCTTGTCAGGACCCCGACTCGATGTCACATCGATCTAGCTGGTAACACCTCATATCACTTTGCGGCCTCACGCACGGTATCCCCACGGGTGTCGTCTTACCTTTTCCCGGGACCGTTTGCGCCTTTTGGCTCACGTATATGATAGTGTCGCTAGCATCCATATGATAAGGAGCCCGGGCTGACATGACTAGTCGTAAACCCAAAGTGGCACAAACTTACAGGGACAGGCATCCATGACCCAGCTTCGAACGTGTCGGTCATCAGCAAGTGGGTCTGGGCTAGCAGGACTCCGGTAAACCGGGCTGTAGCGGGCTAACAGGACTCCGGTACTCAAAGCGTGACATTTCCCCGAAGGGACAGACACAGGAACGAAGAAGGACACATGCCGGCCAGCCTAAGTGTTCCAGAGCAGTAGCAAGCTACCATGGCTCAGCGGTAACACTAGGAGACATTTCCCGGTAAGAGAGGCTACTAAAGATAAACAACTAGATAGTCAGATCCCACACATACCAAGCATTTCAATCATACACACAATATGCTCGATATGTGCAAATACAACGAAGCATCACAACATGACTCTATGACACAAGTACTTTATTTAAGGCTCAGGGAGCCATACATAACATACACAAAGGTACGGGTCTCACGACCCCACATACAAGTCATACAGTCATACAAGCCAGCAGCGGAAATACATTGTCTGGGTACAGACAACTAGTAAAATAAAAGAGGCTTGGAAGCCTAGCTATACTACGTGGTCCATCACAAGCTCAGGGTCACCACCTGGGTCTTTAGCCTACTCGTTGATGTCAACGTCTACATAGAACCCATCAGAAGGGGTTGCAGCGTCTTCTGTAAAAATGTAGATTATAGCAACATGAGTACAAAGGTACTCAGCAAGACTTACATCAGATCCTACATACATGCATAGTATCAAGAAGGGTTGGTGGAGTTATTGCAGCAAGCCAGCTTTGACTCTTGGCTAGGCTATCCTACGATACTCCAACTTGAAATGGTTTTGCGCACACGAGTCCACTACTCACCACTTCA